TGTAAAGCACTATGAAGCAGTATATAAGTCTAAGTGCTATTGCTTTTATTCGTATATACTCCTCCTCCTCCATCACCATGATCATCATCATGTTTTTAATTAACCAGACTTTCAATGAAACTCTGCTATTACTTCATCTTTACCTCGAAGTAACCTGAAGTAACCTGAGTGTGAAAACGCCATAAACTCCATAACTTTCTGGAAAGTTATGTCACCAAACTGGATGACAATTTCCCCTTCCCAAAAACTATTTTGCCAGCCAAGGAGACTGATAAATGGAGAGAATGGCATTAAGTTAAGACAGCAGGCTTGTTTAAGGGCTTCTGGCACAAAGAAGCAAAGGAATTATATCCCTACTCAGGATGAGGAGGACCCTGTTATTATTCATTCAACCTAGCAATAAAATCCATTATTGCAGACTATAAAAATATTAATCTTATTACTAAAATTCACTCTCTTCTCACTTTCACTATGTGTCAAAAATGACAATATAAATGTTGTTTTACATTTTGAACTTGTGTTCCTCAATTCAGATATCTCAAAAGTAAGTTTCTTGTAAAAGAGCAGAGAAAACCTTCTTCAAAATATAGAAGTGGGAAAACCCTTGCCAAAAGCAGAAAAACAAACTTAGGCTAACCACTTTTTTTTAAAGGCAGCCTCACAAATATTTATATTTTAATACAAAATTTTAAATACATATTTAAATACATATATAGAGTAGAGTAGAGTAGAGTAGAGTAGAGTAGAGTAGAGTAGAGTAGAGTAGAAGCTGGAAGGGACCTTGGAGGTCTTCTAGTCCAGCCCCCTGCTCAAGCAGGAGAACCTATACCATCTTAGACAGATGATTGTCTTTATATTACATTATATTTATATTATATTATATTAACCACTATACCACATGTCTTGATTAAACTGTGTAATGTTGGTATAGCAACATTAGCAAATAGCTTCACATACGGCTTGTAGAAACATCTGCAACCTGCAGTGCAAAAATAACCTGGGCTGTACACCGTTGCCCAAAGGCAGCTGCTTCCAGCGCACAGACCAGGAGTGGCCCTTGAAACTTCCAAAGCGAATTCCCCTCAATGACAGCAGCATCACCTTCCACGGCATTGTTGACCTCCTGGATAAAAAGCTGCAACTTCATCACCAGGGTAGCTGCGTGAGCATCTACTTTGCCAGGGGCTTCCTGCTGCACAGCCCGGAAGGCCCCGTTCACCCAGGCCTTGACCTCAAAATCGTCAGCCAGGAACTTGGAGAAATCCATGGTGGCTGCCACTCTTTCACCCTCGCCTGGAGCTGGTCAGTAACTGCGGCACCTGATGATACAAGGGAAACAGACAGGAACAGAAGCTGTAGTTCAGCAAATGCTTTGTCTGCAGAACATCTTAATTTTTTTAAAAAAGTATTAGCATTACTGTGAACGCCATTTGTCTGAGGACCTCTGCCCTGGATTGTATTAGAAGACACACGCAAAAATGAAAACCCTAGGATTCTATGAATTTAGCAAGCAAGGATTGTCTGTGAAATCCTTGGTGTTCTCTGAGCTTGGCTGTCTTTTTGCAGCAGTCTCATTACCCAACTAGCCAACATCATCAGTACTGGTGAAGGTGAAGTTTGCTCCCTGTTTATTTTAAGTATTTATTCCAAATATTACTTTTATCAGTAACTCAAAGTGGCAAACATATCCAGTTTCTTCCTTTTATTTTCCACAATGAGACAGAGTCACTGGTCCCAAATCACCCAGCCGCTTTCGTGCCTAAGGCATGACTAGAACCAAGATAAAAGGCAAGCAGCTTGTTGTTCCCAGATGAGAGTTGTTTCAAAGTATATTCCATGGACTTCTAAAAAACTTAATGGGGTTAAGAAACTAAGAACAAAAAAAAAAAAGTTCACTCAGGCACTACCAATTTTTTAGAGCTTAGCTTCTTGATTAGGGCTCTGGGGTTTTCTTTTTAATTAACAGATTCCAATGCCTGAAAAAGTTTGAAATCCTCTTCTCTACTCCTGCCCAACCAGGCCAGGAGAGCTGTCATCAGAACGATCTGGAAAGATCAAGGTTACCTACTCGGTCTCTGAGCTTATGCAAAAAATGCACTCAAAGGACAATTTTAAATGCAGCATCTTTATCTTTTGAAATCTGTAATTAAAAGAAATACAGAAGCCTAGGGCTGGAAGGGACCTTGGAAGTCTTCTAGTCCAATCCCCTGCCAAAGGAAGTTCACTCTTGAATTTCATGATTGTCACTCTTTAGCTTTATGTCTAGCAAACTGCTATGTTTCTCTAGATGTTATGACTCAAAGAATTACTTATAGGACAGATTTGAAACTGGGGTATTTGCTGAAGTGTAAATAGATACAACATTCTGGAATGTGTACAAATGAGGCAATAAAATATTTTTATTTTATTGTAATAAATAAATTTAAATATCTCTAAAGCGAGAGAGCCACTTTGGAGTAATGGTTAAAAGCACCAATCAGACTAGAAATCAGGAGATTGTGAGTTCTAGTCCCATTTTAGACCCGAAGCCAGCTGAGTGGTCCTGGGCCAGTGACTCACAACCCTAGGAAGGAGGCAAAGGCAAACCACTTCCCAAAAACCATCACAAAGAAAATGGCAGGGACCAAGCCAGGCAGTCACCAGCATCAAGACTGATTCAGGAGGACCAAAACAAGAACAGTCAACATTTTAAAGATTATGGGGAGGATAAAAATTACAATGGCAGCCCGGAAAGAACTTGGTTTAATGCGACGTAAGATTTATAGGGTGCAATGCTTTGGTGTCATGGTCAGAGCATCGTGCCAGAAACTGGGACATGGCGTGCTTCATAGTCCTGCCTTAAGGGTGAAGTCCTTGGGCCAGTCACTCCCTCTCAGCCCCAAGAAGTAGGCGATGGCAAACCACTCCCCAAAGAACCTTGCCAAGCAAACTACAGGGACTGATCCAGTCGCCACAAGCCAAAATGGACTTGAAGGCAATAATAATAAAGTGAGCACCAGGCCTACTAAGCATTCCCATTCAGACAACTGATTTTTGCAGCACGGACACCACAGCCTGGAGCAGGAGGTCTCTACACCCGGCCCCTTTAAGACGTGTGGACTTCAACTGCTGGCGTTCTGGGAGTTGAAGTCCACACGTCTTCAAGGGGCCAAGTTCAGAGAGCCCTGGCCTGGAGCAATGTTTCTCAACGGGGCAAGTTGCAGATGGGCGGACTTCAATTCCCAGAATTCCCCAGCGGCATCTCCAGCTGCTGAGGACCGCCCCCCTCCCCTTCCAGCGGCCACATTCAGAAAGGCCGGCCTCGTCAATGCGCTCGGGCGTCACGACGAACCGCACCGGGGCGTCCACGCGGGAACTGGCCACGGGGGAGACAAGCGAGGCCCCTGAAGCAGGAGGGGCGCCCGCCGGGAACGAGGCCTCGCGAAGCCCCGCGGAGAGGTTCGGGCTCTGCCCCATCGCGGGGCGGAGAGTTCCGAAGGAATCGGGCGGGGAGCCGCGCCCCTCACCTGCTGGGCCCCCTCGGCGGGACGCCCCCAACTCACCTGCGCATTGAGCCTCCGCGCCCCCGCGGGTCCAAGGCGTTGGGCCGCCATCTTGGTGTCGGGCCTGCGGCTTCACGCCTCTCCAGGATTTCCGGGAAGTCCGCTCCCTTCGCTGATTGGCTGGTGGCCGACACTCGCGCCCCCGGATTGGGCAGTCTCCGCCCACTCAGCGCACCCGGGGAGGAGTTTCTTTTCCCGGTCCCGCTTGCCTTAGAGAACGCGCGGCAGGCAGGCGCGAATCCAACCGGGGCAGCCTCTTCCCGCGCTGTGGCCCAGCAGCAGCAGCAGCAGCAGTTCGCCCTTCCAGTGCGGGAGGCCCGCAGGCCCAGCCGAATCCCTCCAGGCAGCCGCCCGTTTGGGCTTCCCCTCCGCCCGTCAACTCCCACTCGCTTTCGGACCGCTGCAGCGCCTCGAATCGCACCGTGACCCAAAGCATTCCCCGGTCTCCAAGGCAGGGAGACCGGCGTGGGTGGCTGGGCTGCCGGGCCACACAGGAAGATGTGCCAACAAGAGTGTCTGGGCTGAGAGTGATGCTATTCGGGAATGCTGCCTCGGTCCCTTTTGGGGGCAGAGGCTCCGGCAGCACCCAGCCCACGTTGCCAGGAAGGGGCGAGAGGCTGCCCAGTCAAATCCAGGGCTGGGGAGGCCACGTCTGTCTCTGAATCCTTTTACTTATTCCAGGGAAAGATCCAGGCAGAACAAAGACCGGCTGCCCCTCCAGCCAGCCCCAAAGTTTGTCTGAACACACCCGGGGCACCAGCCAGAAATGGACCCCTTGCTTGCACCACTTGCCTTTCACTTGTTCACCATAGTTTACGTTTGCAAATATTGTGTGAACCAGTCTCTTCAGATCCAGGAGTGTCTGGGACATGTTGGATCTTTAAGTGGCCCTGCCTGCTACCAAGAAACTTCCAAACTGGTGGCTGCCTCAAGGACAGACTTTAGCCTGAGCATTCCAGCAGGCTCTACTTTTTTTTTTTTTTAAAGTGACCATACAAAGTTATGACAGAGCTCCCCCAGACATACTTATGACCCATTTCTAAGTTCCAGTGGCTGCAATCCCCTCGTCATACAATTGCATTTTGGGTGCTTGGCAATTGGCTCACATTTATAGCTGTTTGCAGCATCACAACTGCAATTTTCAATGTATACCAGTTTACTTCTGGTTTCTGGCAAAAATAGCAATTGGGTATAATGGATTCACTTGTCCAATGCATCTGCTTAATGACCATTGCAAAAACGGTCATAAAACTGGGCAGAGTCATGTGGTGACCTGCTTAACGAGCACCATAACTTACAACTAATTCCAGTCACAAATTGAGGACTACCTTATTTAGCAGAAGCAGCTCTGCATTTGCTGAGCCGCCAAAAGCTCCATTGTGGCCCTGGAAAACAACCTGGGTGGCATGCTGACCGGCCCCATACAATTCCTGCAGCAAGCAGAGTCATGCCACAGAGTCACAATGTGAAAGTCTTTATTGATTAAAGCTTAGAGTTCGGGATCCAATCTCACCTTGCACAGATGAGGGAGGAAGGAGGAAGACTTCACGAGGTTCAGCTGCAGAAAGAACCTTCCATGGCAAGAACCTCACCACTGGGAAGCTCCCTGGCCCTAGAAAACTAGCAAATCAGGGAGGGGGGGGGGTTCCATCCTGGGCTTCTCTGATAAGTCAACTGTTCTTGGCAAAGACATGCAGCCTAAAGCGCTGAGCTTGGACTTTCATCCAGATTAGGAAAATTTAGGCTTAACTAAAACAAGAGGGTTGATCCTAATTTCCTAACTCCCGTATCTATTGCATCATACTTTTCAGATATTGATTTTTGATCCTTTTTCCCAGAGTTACAAAAGGGGGAATGCCAAACGGGCTGCGGGGGCTCGTCTATATCTAATTTCAACAGGGCCTTCGATCCAGCTAATATTTTTCCCTTTTCTATTAAATTTGAACCCAGCACTCATCAACACCAGAAAACATTCTCTGTGCGTTGCCCTCAAGCCTGGGAAATATTTTCCCAAGCTCCACCATGCTTAGAAGTCCTTCCTTTGTCCCTTTCCCTCATGGAGCGAGTTGGCTGCACAGAGCCCCCTGAATCCGAAGGCTGGTCTCCTTGGGTCCCAACAGGATCATCATCTCGGCAACGCTGGGCCCGTCCTGAAAGGGAAGTAGCGGTTACCGCACGGGGAGGGGCAGGCGAGCGCAGTTCTCCCAAGCCAAGCCCAGAACGGGAGGGAGACTTGCCTGCAGGCCACTGAGGGTGAGGCGGAGGAGCTTCATCATGGTGCTGTACTTTGTGCCACTTATCTGCGCATGCAGCTGCCTCAGTTGCTGGCCAAGTTCTTCAGGTCTCTGAGTCACTGGCCCTTCCAGTAGCCTTTAGGAGGAGATGACATGGTCAACCAGAGCATGCCGACGGGCTGAGCCAGAAGAGAAGCAGGCCCAGCTGGTCAACCGCATTCCTGAGAATCTGGCATTTGTGCAGGGCTCTTTTGAGGAAGCCTTGGGCAAATAGCAGAAATGCTTGCTGATGGATCCCATTTGACGTCCCACGGAGTGTCAAAGTGACTAAATCTGAATCCAGCAGGCATCTGAAGACCAACTGCATGGCACAAACTCAAGCTGCTTATCTGCCACCATTCTGGCAGTTAGTGAAACTTTCATTTCATTAAAATCACCAGAGAGATGTCATCGCAACAGTTTGAATTATTTTTTTCACACGGTGTTTGTACTCAAATGGCAGACCCAGTGAAAGTTACCCAGCAGGGAAAGTGTTCATTTTCACATGAGGAAGTTTATGAAACAGGCAAGTAGGAATTTCTTCCCAAAACAGAGCAAGATTCCCCACCAAGACAGCAGCCAGTTTACCTGAGGACCACCCTTCCTATCTGGTCTGTCTCAGTGGAGAGAGTCTGCAGCTTCTCAGAAGGCACAGAGGGTCGGATCCACAAGAA